ATTTTTCTTTTGTAATAAATCATTTAAAAACATTTTACTGACCATTTAACTGTTTATTACAATGAAACAGCTGCAAATGAACATATTTAGTACTTTAGGGATTATTTTAAGAAGGGGGATGGGGGGAATCCCCTTATTATGGTGGGCATATCCCTTATTTTCACATCACAATGTTGACAGGTATGGTTTAATGTAGATGTGGATTTTGTAATGCTTTACTCTAATGAGTATCTTTTTGCAAATTAATAAATAACTGTTGCTCAGCAATATCTATCAAAATCAAACCTGTCAACCCTCCTGTTTTTCCCGGGATCATCCTGTATTTTACAGTTCTATCCCGCTATCATCCCGTAAAGGTGTTTTCCTGTATTTCTCCCATATTTTCAGTCTTTCTCTGAAGAGCGGCAATAAAGAGCAGATCCTCCCTATGAGCAACCCATACCGCCGAGCCACCAGGAGACACCCCTTGCTCTTAAATGTGAGTCTGTGCTGTGCTTTAGTGTTATTTAGGCATGAAAACACTTTGAAATAATTATAAAAACGCCAGGATTCCCTTCCTTTTCGTTACAGGTATCGTCTCCCCTCCTCTGCAATCCTCAAACAGTCACATAGCAGTGCGTGACTGTCAGCTGACGCACTCCATAGTGATCAATATACACTGTTTCCCAAACGGATTCTGTACACGCCATTTGAAGCGGAGCAAAAGTCTGGGTTTTGGGTGCGTGTTTGAACACACATATACACATAATTAATAATAATAATAATATCTAAATATGTCGATCTTGGTGAGGTTTTTTTTAAACTAACTAATTTTGTTCTAAATGAGCTTGAACAGTTAGGAAAGCAGTCAAATGCCTTCATTACAACATTAGATGTATGCCCTGATGACACCTGTTATTTAATGTAATCAAACAAAGAATCTAAATAAATAAGAGATTCATTCGCTTCTCTTTAAACCCTTCAGACCCTGCGTCCATTACAATGGACATCACATGACAGCCCATTTTTCTGAATTTTGAACATAATTCTGGTCTGAAGGGGTTAAACAGAATGTGTGAGTTATACAGTGAAGAAACGGCTAATGAGGTTTGATAACTTGAATCTATTTCTTTCAAATAGCTATTAATTTTAATAAGCTGAACTGTTTGATAATGTATTTGCTGCTAATATATATATTTATTTTTCTTTTGTAAAGAATAATAATAACAAATATTACTGACCATTTAACTGCTTATTTACAACGAAACACTTCCAGAAGAATATATTTAGTGATTTGGGATTTTTTGGGGGGTTGGGTTGGGGGGGGGGATAATTCCTCATTATGGTGGGCATATCCCTTATTATATCCCAATGTTCACAGATATGATCAAAACAAACCAGACCTTTCATATTCTCAAATGATGTCCTCCATCTGAATCTCACCCATCATCAGTGATGTCATGTGAACAACCTATAGCGCATGTGTTTGGACTGTAGGGGAAACTGGAGCACCCTTGAGGAAACCCACGCCAACACGGGGAGAACATGCAAACTCCACACAGAAACACCAACTGACACAGAAGAAACTCGAACCAGCGACCTTGCTTGTGAGGCCACAGTGATAACCCCTGAGCCAGCGTGCTGCTGGTGTTAAACATCATCTGTGAAATACTTGAGAACGAGTGAAGAAGAGAGTTTCTGCGCTGAAGTGTGTGTCGTGTGAATGTAAATGTGTGTGTTTTTGCTGACGGAGGACTGAACTCTGTCAGGCTCGTCCGCTCGATCAGTAGAAGTGAGTTATTGATCCGCTATTGATCTCTCAGTGTTCTGATGATTGTGTTTGTGAAACGCTGATGACACTATTGTGTTTCTTTGATCGCTCATTAGATGCTTGATTTGTTGGCAGCGTTAAAACA